AGACATGGAAACAATTACTGGTCTCCGTGCTCTTGAAGGCAGCTCCTCACTCATATCAGACAGTGAAACAATTACTGGTCTCCGTGCTCTTGAAGGCAGCTCCTCACTCATATCAGACATGGAAACAATTACTGGTCTCCGTGCTCTTGAAGGCAGCTCCACACTCATATCAGACATGGAAACAATTACTGGTCTCCGTGCTCTTGAAGGCAGCTCCTCACTCATATCAGACATAGAAACAATTACTGGTCTCCGTGCTCTTGAAGGCAGCTCCTCGCCCATATCAGACATGGAAACAATTACTGGTCTCCGGGCTCTTGAAGGCAGCTCCACACTCATATCAGACATAGAAACAATTACTGGTCTCCGTGCTCTTGAAGGCAGCTCCTCGCCCATATCAGACATGGAAACAATTACTGGTCTCCGGGCTCTTGAAGGCAGCTCCACACTCATATCAGACATAGAAACAATTACTGGTCTCCGGGCTCTTGAAGGCAGCTCCACACTCATATCAGACATAGAAACAATTACTGGTCTCCGTGCTCTTGAAGGCAGCTCCTCACTCATATCAGACATGGAAACAATTACTGGTCTCCGGGCTCTTGAAGGCAGCTCCACACTCATATCAGACATAGAAACAATTACTGGTCTCCGGGCTCTTGAAGGCAGCTCCTCACTTATATCAGATATGGAAACAATTACTGGTCTCCGGGCTCTTGAAGGCAGCTCCACACTCATATCAGACATGGAAACAATTACTGGTCTCCGGGCTTTTGAAGGCAGCTCCTCACTCATATCAGACACGGAAACAATTACTGGTCTCCGTGCTCTTGAAGGCAGCTCCTCACTCATATCAGACACGGAAACAATTACTGGTCTCCGGGCTCTTGAAGGCAGCTCCTCACTCATATCAGACACGGAAACAATTACTGGTCTCCGGGCTCTTGAAGGCAGCTCCACGCCCATATCAGACACGGAAACAATTACTGGTCTCCGTGCTCTTGAAGGCAGCTCCACGCCCATATCAGACACGGAAACAATTACTGGTCTCCGGGCTCTTGAAGGCAGCTCCTCACTTATATCAGACAGTGAAACAATTACTGGTCTCCGTGCTCTTGAAGGCAGCTCCTCACTCATATCAGACATGGAAACAATTACTGGTCTCCGGGCTCTTGAAGGCAGCTCCTCACTTATATCAGACATGGAAACAATTACTGGTCTCCGGGCTCTTGAAGGCAGCTCCTCACTTATATCAGACATGGAAACAATTACTGGTCTCCGTGCTCTTGAAGGCAGCTCCTCACTTATATCAGACATGGAAACAATTACTGGTCTCCGGGCTCTTGAAGGCAGCTCCTCACTTATATCAGACATGGAAACAATTACTGGTCTCCGTGCTCTTGAAGGCAGCTCCTCGCTCATATCAGACATGGAAACAATTACTGGTCTCCGTGCTCTTGAAGGCAGCTCCTCACTCATATCAGACATGGAAACAATTACTGGTCTCCGTGCTCTTAAAGGCAGCTCCTCACTTATATCAGACACGGAAACAATTACTGGTCTCCGGGCTCTTGAAGGCAGCTCCTCACTCATATCAGACATAGAAACAATTACTGGTCTCCGGGCTCTTGAAGGCAGCTCCTCACTCATATCAGACATGGAAACAATTACTGGTCTCCGGGCTCTTGAAGACAGCTCCTCACCCATATCAGACATGGAAACAATTACTGGTCTCCGTGCTCTTGAAGGCAGCTCCTCACCCATATCAGACACGGAAACAATTACTGGTCTCCGTGCTCTTGAAGGCAGCTCCTCACTCATATCAGACATGGAAACAATTACTGGTCTCCGTGCTCTTGAAGGCAGCTCCTCGCTCATATCAGACATAGAAACAATTACTGGTCTCCGTGCTCTTGAAGGCAGCTCCTCACTCATATCAGACATAGAAACAATTACTGGTCTCCGGGCTCTTGAAGGCAGCTCCTCACTCATATCAGACATGGAAACAATTACTGGTCTCCGTGCTCTTGAAGGCAGCTCCTCACTCATATCAGACATGGAAACAATTACTGGTCTCCGGGCTCTTGAAGGCAGCTCCACACTCATATCAGACATAGAAACAATTACTGGTCTCCGTGCTCTTGAAGGCAGCTCCACGCCCATATCAGACATAGAAACAATTACTGGTCTCCGGGCTCTTGAAGGCAGCTCCTCACTCATATCAGACACGGAAACAATTACTGGTCTCCGTGCTCTTGAAGGCAGCTCCTCACTTATATCAGACATGGAAACAATTACTGGTCTCCGTGCTCTTGAAGGCAGCTCCACGCCCATATCAGACACGGAAACAATTACTGGTCTCCGGGCTCTTGAAGGCAGCTCCTCACTTATATCAGACATGGAAACAATTACTGGTCTCCGTGCTCTTGAAGGCAGCTCCTCACTTATATCAGACATGGAAACAATTACTGGTCTCCGGGCTCTTGAAGGCAGCTCCTCACTTATATCAGACATAGAAACAATTACTGGTCTCCGTGCTCTTGAAGGCAGCTCCTCACTCATATCAGACATAGAAACAATTACTGGTCTCCGGGCTCTTGAAGGCAGCTCCACGCCCATATCAGACATAGAAACAATTACTGGTCTCCGGGCTCTTGAAGGCAGCTCCACACTCATATCAGACATAGAAACAATTACTGGTCTCCGTGCTCTTGAAGGCAGCTCCTCACTTATATCAGATATGGAAACAATTACTGGTCTCCGTGCTCTTGAAGGCAGCTACTCACTCATATCAGACATGGAAACAATTACTGGTCTCCGTGCTCTTGAAGGCAGCTCCTCACTCATATCAGACATAGAAACAATTACTGGTCTCCGTGCTCTTGAAGGCAGCTCCTCACTCATATCAGACATAGAAACAATTACAGCCCTCTACTCCGATCAGAAACAATTACTGGTCTCCGTGCTCTTGAAGGCAGCTCCTCACTCATATCAGACACGGAAACAATTACTGGTCTCCGTGCTCTTGAAGGCAGCTCCACACTCATATCAGACACGGAAACAATTACTGGTCTCCGTGCTCTTGAAGGCAGCTACTCACTCATATCAGACATGGAAACAATTACTGGTCTCCGTGCTCTTGAAGGCAGCTCCTCACTCTCCGTGCTCTTGAAGGCAGCTCCTCACACTTAGATCAGACAACGGAAACAATTACTGGTCTCCGTGCTCTTGAAGGCAGCTCCTCACCCTATCAGACACGGAAACAAATTACTGGTCTCACGGGCTCTTGATGGCAGCTCCACACTCATATCAGACATGGAAAACAATTACTGGTTCTCCAGGGCTCTTCTTGAAGCAGCTCCACGCCCATATCAGACATGGAAACAATTACTGGTCTCCGGCTCTCGAAGGCAGATCCTCCACTCAGCGCTCAGCTCCCATACCACCATTTGAAAAAACAACCCATTGTACAGCCGACTGCAGAAACCCCAGAGGACTAAACTAAAAACAATGTTCGTTTAATAACGCTCACAAATCGCTCAAGCTCGCCAGACCTCAAACTCCCTCTAATAGTTTCCAAATGTTTCCACTGAATATAGACCTTACAACGACTGCTCACTTTGACTTAGGGATAACCTACCAACAGTAAGAACCACTGTAACAGGGATCTCCTCCAAATCATCAATTAGCAGCACTGATATGAAGTCCGTTACAGAAGGAGAGATCAATAGACTTTATCCACACCAGAGCTGGATTCGAGTGTATACAGATGGTTCAGCCCATAGAGCAATAACAGACGAAGGAGGAGGAACATGTATAGAGAGCCCACATGGTTTTAAAAAAATTGAACAGTCTTTACCAACAGGATCATATTCCTCAAATTACAGAACAGAGGCAGATGCACTTTTTGGGGCATGTTTTTTCCTGAATGGACGGACAACAGCACAGCAAATATAGCAGAGTGGTCTTTAAAAGTTCTCTGATAGAAAGATCGAAGAAGAAGAGTCACAACCTGGTGGACCAACTTCACAGCCGTGAGGTAACGGTGGACAGAGCCGTGAGGTAACGGTGGACAGGGCCGTGAGGTAACGGTGGACAGAGCCGCGAGGTAACGGTGGACAGGGCCGTGAGGTAACGGTGGACAGGGCCGGGAGAAGTTCGTGCAGCTGTTAGGTAAAGGCAACTGGGGCCGGCAGGAGGGCGTGCAGCCGTGAGGTAGGGGTGGCTAGGGCCGGCAGGAGGGCGTGCAGCCGTGAGGTAGGGGTGGCTAGGGCCGGCAGTAGAGCGTGCAGCCGTGAGGTAGGGGTGGCTACGGCCGGCAGTAGAGCGTGCAGCCGTGAGGTAGGGGTGGCTAGGGGCGGCAAGTAGACTGCGTGCAAAAAGCGTGATGTAGGGTTGGCTAGGGCCGGCAGTAGAGCGTGCAGCCGTGAGGTAGGTGTGGCTAGGGCCGGCAGGAGGACGTGCAGCCGTGAGGTAGGGGTGGCTAGGGCCGGCAGGAGGACGTGCAGCCGTGAGGTATGGGTTGCTAGGGCCGGCAGGAGGACGTGCAGCCGTGAGGTAAGGGTGGCTAGGGCCGGCAGGAGGACGTGCAGCCGTGAGGTAGTATTGGCTAGGGCCAGCAGTAGAGCGTGCAGCCGTGAGGTAGGGGTGGCTTGGGCCGGCAGGAGGACGTGCAGCCGTGAAGTAAGGGTGGCTAGGGCCGGCAGGAGGACGTGCAGCCGTGAGGTAAGGGTGGCTAGGGCCGACAGGAGGGCGTGCAGCTGTGAGGTAGGGGTGGCTAGGGCCGGCAGTAGAGCGTGCAGCTGTGAGGTAGGGGTGGCTAGGGCCGGCAGTAGAGCGTGCAGCCGCGAGGTAGAGGTGGCTAGGGCCGGCAGTAGAGCGTGCAGCCGTGAGGTAGGGGTGGCTAGGGCCGGCAGTAGAGCGTGCAGCCGTGAGGTAGGGACAGCTGGTGAAAAAAGACATCCGTAAGAGACTACAACCTTGACCTTGCTCTTCGACAGCGTGAGGTCATCTCTCTACACATAGGCCAAGCCGGTGTCCAGATCGGTAATGCATGCTGGGAGCTGTACTGTCTGGAGCACGGCATCCAACCTGACGGCCAGATGCCCTCGGACAAGACGCTGGGCTTTGGGGACGACTCTTTCAACACTTTCTTTAGTGAGACGGGAGCCGGCAAACATGTGCCGCGGGCCGTCTTCCTGGATCTAGAGCCCACAGTTGTTGGTGAGTCTTGCCTGTGTTTGTACGCACGTTTGTTGGTGGGCCTTGTGTACACATGTTTGTTGGTGGGACTTGTGTACACACGTTTGTTGGTGGGAATTGTTTGTGTTTGCCTAGAGAAACCACACCACAGCCAGGGGCTTCTCGCAACTAACGTTTAACACACTGTTGTTGGTGGATCTTGCTTGTGTTTGTACACACTTGTGTTGGTGAGTCTTGTTTGTGTTTGTACACACATGTTTTGGTGGATCTTGTTTGTGTTTGTACACGCATTTGTTAGTGAGTCTTGTTTGTGTTTGTATACACATGTGTTAGTGAGTCTTGTTTGTGTTTGTACACGCATTTGTTAGTGAGTCTTGTTTGTGTTTGTACACACATGTGTTGGTGAGTCTTGTTTGTGTTTGTGCACACATTTGTTAGTGAGTCTTGTTTGTGTTTTTACACGCATTTGTTAGTGAGTCTTGTTTGTGTTTTTACACGCATTTGTTAGTGAGTCTTGTTTGTGTTTGTGCACACAATTGTGAGACTGGAGCCCGCAAACATGTGCCGCAAGCCGTGTTTCTGGATCTAGTGTCCACGGTTGTTGGTGGGTCTTATTTGTGTTTGTACACACATGTGTCGGTGGGTCTTGTTTGTGTTTGTACACATCCAGATCCAAGTGATATGATATCGGTTCTGAACTCAGCGATCCTCCTGGTGAGAGGTCAAGAGAGATCTCCAGTTACCACAGCAACACGCAATCGAGATCTTCACTGTCTCTGCAGTCTACATAAGCAAACATATCCCTACACGAGGACCTATGTCCCTACATAAGCAAACATGTCCCTACACGAGGACCCATGTCCCTACATAAGCAAACATGTCCCTACACGAGGACCCATGTCCCTACATGACGAAACATGTCCCTACACGAGGACCCATGTCCCTACAGGACGAAAAATGTCCCTACACGAGGACCCATGTCCCTACATGAGGACCCATGTCCCTACATAAGCAAATATGTCCCTACACGAGGACCCATGTCCCTACATGAGCAAAAATGTCCCTACACGAGGACCCATATCCCTACACGAGGACCCATGTTCCTACATGAGGAAACATGCCCCTACATGAGGAAACATATCCCTGAATGAGGAAACATGTCCCTACATGAGGAAACATGTCCCTACATGGGAAAACATGTCCCTACATGAGGAAATATGTCCCTACATGATAAAACATGTTCCTACATGAGGAAACATGTTCCTACACGAGGAAACATTTCCCTGAATGAGAAAACATATCCCTACATGAGGAAACATATCCCTATATGAGGAAACATATCCCTACATGAGAAAACATATCCCTACATGAGGAACCATGTCCCTACATGATGAAACATGTCCTTACACGAGGACCCATGTCCCTACATGAGAAAACATTTCCCTGAATGAGGAAACATATCCCTACTTGAGGAAACATTTCCCTACATGGGAAAACATGTCCCTACATGAGGAAATATGTCCCTACATGATAAAACATGTTCCTACATGAGGAAACATGTTCCTACATGAGGAAACATGTTCCTACACGAGGAAACATTTCCCTGAATGAGGGAACATATCCCTACACGAGGAAACATGTCCCTAAATGAGGAAACATATCCCTACATGAGAAAACATATCCCTACATGAGGAACCATGTCCCTACATGATGAAACATGTCCTTACATGAGGACCCATGTCCCTACATGAGGAACCATGTCCCTACATGAGGAAACATGTCCCTACATGAGGAAACATGTCCCTACATGAGCAAACATGTCCCTACATGAGGAAACATGTCCCTACATGAGCAAACATGTCCCTACATGAGCAAACATGTCCCTACATGAGGAAACATGTCCCTACATGAGGAAACATGTCCCTACATGAGGAAACATGTCCCTACATGAGGAAACATTTCCCTACATGAGAAAACGTCCCTACATGAGCAAACATGTCGCTATATGAGGAACCATATCCCTACATGAGGAAACAGGTCCCTACATGAGGAACCATGACCCTACATGAGGAACCATGACCCTACATGAGGAACCATGTCCCTACACGAGGAACCATGTCCCTACATGATGAAACATATCCTTACATGAGGAAACATATCCCTACATTAGAAAGCATATCCCTACATGAGGAAACATATCCCTACACGAGGAAACTTATCCCTACACGTGGAAACATGTCGCTACATGATTAAACATGTCGCTACATGAGGAAACATGTCCCTATTCTATGTTCACGAATAACATTCTTATCGCGCAGACGAAGTTCGAACCGGCACCTACAGGCAGCTGTTCCACCCCGAACAGTTGGTCACCGGCAAGGAGGACGCGGCCAACAACTACGCCCGCGGTCACTACACCATCGGCAAGGAAATTGTGGACCTGGTGCTGGACCGGCTGAGAAAACTGGCTGACTCCTGCACGGGCCTTCAGGGCTTCCTCATCTTTCACAGGTGACCCCGATCACAGTATCATTGAACTCTCAGAATAGACTAGCCAGTTGAGAGGGGGTGAAAGATGGGTGAAAGTTGACAGGGAATAGATCAGAGTAAATAGTAGATAGATGAGTGTTGTCGTAGGATAGATGAGAGTAGACAGGCGATTGGAAAGAGTAAAAAAGAGATAAAGAGAGTTGAAAGGCGATAGGAAAGAGTAAAAAAGAGATTAAGAGAGTAGACAGGAGACAGATGAGAGTAAACAATAGATAAATGAGTGTAGACACTGAGTGAATAAGAGTAGGCAGGGAAAAGATTATGTTTGTTGGGTGATAGATAAGAGTAGACAGGAGCTAAATGAGAGTAGACAGGAGCTAAATGAGAGTAGACAGGAGATAGATGAGAATCGACAGATGTATAATAGTAGACAGGAGATAGATGGGAGTAAAAATGGGATTGATGAGAGAGACAGAGGTAAAGCAAGAGTAAACAGGGGATATATGGGAGTAGACAGGGGATATATCGGAGTAGACAGGGGGGATAGATGAGAGTAGACAGGAGATAGATGAGAGTACACAGGAGATGTGTGGAGATATACAGGGTATAGAAGAGAGTAGACAGGTGATAGATTATTTTTCAGAAAAAGAAGGTAGATGCGAGTAGACAGGAAATAGATGGAAGTAGACAAGAGATGTATAAGAGTAGAAAGGAAATAAATGAGAACTAGAGACAGTTAATAAATGAGAGTTGTCAAGGAATAGTTGAGAGCAAACAGAGACAGATGAAATAAGACAGGGAATTGAAAGAGAGTAGACAGGGGGTAGATGTGAGTAAACAGGAGATATATAAGAGTAAACGGGAGAGATTGGAGTAAATATGATATGGCTGAGATTAGACAGGAGATAGATGGGAATTGACAGTTGAGTGTAGACAAGTAATATTTAAATCGTGACCATGTGAACTATATTTTCCTGTGTAATTGTCACACAACTGACGGTTTTTTGACAGAAAACGGAGTGTTTTTAGACCTGACAGCTTTGTGGCAGTCAGAACACCGATAGTGTTGATGTATGACGTCTTTGTGACAGTCAGAACACCGATAGTGTTGATGTATGACAGCTTTGTGACAGTCAGAACACCGATAGTGTTGATGTATGACAGCTTTGTGACAGTCAGAACACCGATAATGTTGATGTATGACAGCTTTGTGACAGTCAGAACACCGATAGTGTTGATGTATGACAGCTTTGTGACAGTCAGAACACTGATAGTGTTGATGTATGACAGCTTTGTGACAGTCAGAACACCGATAGTGTTGATGTATGACAGCTTTGTGACAGTCAGAACACTGATAGTGTTGATATATGACAGCTTTGTGACAGTCAGAACACCGATGGTGGTGATGTAGGACGTCTTTGTGACAGTCAGAACACTAATAGTGTTGATGTATGACGTCTTTGTGACAGTCAGAACACCGATAGTGTTGATGTATGACGTCTTTGTGACAGTCAGAACACTAATAGTGTTGATGTATGACAACTTTGTGACAGTCAGAACACCGATAGTGTTGATGTATGACGTCTTTGTGACAGTCAGAACACTAATAGTGTTGATGTAGGACAACTTTGTGACAGTCAGAACACCGATAGTGTTGATGTATGACGTCTTTGTGACAGTCAGAACACCGATAGTGTTGATGTATGACGTCTTTGTGACAGGCGGCACACGGATAATGTTGATGTATGACAGCTTTGTGACAGTCAGAACACTAATAGTGTTGATGTATGACAGCTTTGTGACAGTCAGAACACCGATAGTGTTTATGTATGACAGCTTTGTGACAGTCAGAACACCGATGGTGGTAATGTATGACGTCTTTGTGACAGTCAGAACACCGATAGTGTTGATGTATGACGTCTTTTTAAATTCTGAGAAAAAAAAAAAATTTGTATTTATATCTGATATTTTGATATAAATGACAAAACTGACGGTTTTGTGAAAACAGATTGTGTTGACTGCTGATAGAAAAATCATTGTGTTGACTTCTGACGGTTTGATGAGAATTAGAAAAACTGACTGTGTTGACTTCTGACGGTTTGACGAGAATAAGAAAAACTGACTGTGTTGACTTCTGACGTTTTGATGAAAATAAGAAAAACTGACTGTGTGGACTTCTGACGGTTTGGTGACAATAAGTAAAACTGACTGTGTTGACTTCTGACGGTTTGATGAGAATAAGAAAAACTGACTGTGTTGACTTCTGACGGTTTTATGAGAATAAGAAAAACTGACTGTGTTGACTTCTGACGGTTTGATGAGAATTAGAAAAACTGAATGTGTTGACTTCTGACGGTTTGATGAGAATTAGAAAAACTGACTGTGTTGACGTCTGACAGATAGAAGGTCTGTTGTGTTGACTTTTGACAGTTCTAAAGCCGACTATGTTGATGTTTGACAGCTTTGGTGGAGGCACAGGGTCGGGGTTCACGTCTCTGTTGATGGAACGTTTGTCTGTTGATTATGGCAAGAGGGCCAAACTAGAGTTTGCCATCTATCCAGCTCCACAGGTTTGTATGTGCCTATGTTTGTTTTTGTATGTGATGTTTGTTTCAATATCCAAACACCCCCTATAGTAGTATATAAAGCGTAATTTGAGTACACAACATACAAAACATGCTCACATAGTCACGGTACACACACAGGCAAAACAATACGCACAGACACATATAAACATAACACTCATAAATACACACAGTACGCAGACACACAAAAAACACATCATACAGACGCAACATATATACACGTACATGAACACAAACAGCACACACACACTACATACACACAGGCACACCTACACATTATATAAGGAAATACTAGGGGGTATCGGGATTAGTAAAATATAAAAGGTAATCAGATCAATTGTATTTGGTGCTACATCAATGGCTGCTTTAAAGAAAGATAAAAAGCAATACATCCAGTTGTATATGGTGCTACATCAATGGCTGCTTTAAAGAAAGATAAAAAGCAATACATCCAGTTGTATATGGTGCTACATCAATAGCTGCTTTAAAGGAATATAAAAAGCAATACATCCAGTTGTATATGGTGCTACATCAATGGCTGCTTTAAAGAAATATAAAAAGCAATGCATCCAGTTGTATATGGTGCTATTCTTACAAAGGTTATAGAGTCAAGTATGCAAGAAATCTATAAGATCAAGGGTATATTGTCTTACTTATAGATTACTAAGTAAAATATTGTTGAACATCAAAACAAGGGTATATTGTCTTACTTATAGATTACTAAGTAAAATATTGTTGAACATCAAAACAAGGGTATCTGGTTGAAGCCTTGGTCGAGCATAACACAAAACTAACCGTCAAGTCAATAAACTAATTATAGGGAGCCGGTGTGTGTTATGTAGCTGTGTTCTGGAAAGCCAGGCAGCAAACAAGTTGAGGCCTATGCCTAAATATACAAAGCTTTGTGTTCACTGTGTCTGTATGTTCTTTTCTGTATTTCTGCGTCTATTATCAGTCTGTGCCGCCTTTCCAAGTGGTTTATAATTTCACAGACTGTCATTTCTACAAACTGAGCTGGTCCTACAATCAAAATGGGATCGATGGTGGATGTTGACACTGTGAATTTCGAGCGTTTTGCAGACAACACTGTCAACGGTTTGATTGATTTGCAGACAACACTGTCAACGGTTTGATTGATTTGCAGACAACACTGTCAACGGTTTGATTGATTTGCAGACAACACTGTCAACGGTTTGATTGATTTGCAGACAACACTGTCAACGGTTTGATTGATTTGCAGACAGCACTGTCAACGGTTTTATTGATTTGCAGACAGCACTCTCAACGGTTTTATTGATTTGCAGACAGCACTGTCAACTGTTTTATTGATTTGCATTAACGGTTTATTGACCGAATGACCTCCTGTAAAATACAATTTTTAAAAAGTTGACTGCCGGATCCTTTACAGAACATTGCAGAAACAAGCCCAGCATTTTGTTTATGCCGCTGTGGTTTTTCTAGGCAACATTACCTTTAGTAGGTTGCCATGGCTGCTACACAATCGGTTCTCTGTACCCCTGTCGAAACTAACACCAGCTGGTCTGCTGTCAAATTGCCTGCAGATCTGGATTGAGCCTGGCACCACGGCTGTCTGAAGTGTGTTTGCAACGCCTAAGTCACAGACGTTGACTAGCGTCTATTACCGGGCCTAATTTGGTCTAATAAAATTATTTAAGAATCCCACTTTTGATGACATCACACAGCTGTCACTAGCTCAGAAGAGCGGGTTAGCTGTCGTGTACTATCTTGGCGTCATTTCATTTCTACCATCTCATAGACCAAGGTGCCTGTTTCAATGACGTGTATGCTTATGGATTTTATTTTTGCATGGATGGTTATGTGTGTGTGTTAGCGTGTAGTGTGAGTTTGTGTGCGTGAGTGCGTGTGTGTGTGTGTTTTTTGTTTTATTTCTTGACCATAATAATATTTCTCTCATCACTTCATAATTGGACTGTGGAGTAATAAAAAATAAAATTATTTTTTTTAGATAACTGGTTTTCCTAGAGACAGAGTAGAATTTCTTGTTAACTTTTTCACTACTAGAAACTTGTCATCCGTTTAACAGTCATCCCCTTGTCGGGTCTCATTCACTGTTAGACACGTTGTCACCTCATGTCACCTCATCTCTTACTGAAGTAAATATCAGGGCTGTACCGAATAGTGATTTTCACTATTCGGCCGAATACAAATACCTGGACCAACTATTCGGCCGAATATCAATACGAATACGAATAGTGAATCATCATCAGGTGCTTTGCCGACTGGCATGGGCGATTATACCTCGCCACAATCTTCTATCTTCTGCAGCATGTATTAGTTCGTGTGCTGACACACCTCCATGCCATGCAACAAGACTGTCAAGAATCTTCTCTCGTTGTCTTCCTCTATCCCTCCTTCCACAGATCTTTCCAGCTGTAATCACATGTTTCATTTTCCCTAATCTTATAAAATGGCCGAAAACTGATGGCTGTCTACTTTTGTTATCTGTGAGTAGTTGTCTTTGAGCTCCCGCCTCTTTCAAAACCTCTTGGTTGCATTTCTTTTTTCTTTTTCTTTTTGTCCAAGGTATTTTAAGCAATTTTCTGTAAAACCACATCTCTGAGGCCTCAAGAAATTGATTGCCCTGCCTACCGATTGTCCAAGACTCACAGCCATATGTTAAAACTGGATGTATGTAGCAAGCAAGAATTATTTTTCTAACCTTCAATGACGAAGATATATTGCATGAGATGTTCTTAATTTCAGTGACTTACAGCTTGTCAGCTCTTTCACTGACTTGCAGATTGTCAACTCTTTCACTGACTTGCAGCTTGTCAACTCTTTCACTGACTTACAACTTATCAACTCTTTCACTGACTTACAGCTTGTCAGCTCTTTCACTGACTTGCAGCTTGTCAACTCTTTCACTGACTTACAACTTATCAACTCTTTCACTGACTTACAGCTCGTCATCTCTTTCAGTGACGGACAACTTGTCAACTCTTTCAATGACGTACAGCTTGTCAACTCTTTCACTGACATTCATCTTGTCAACACTTTCACTGACGTACATCTTGTAATCTCTTTCACTGACACACAACTTGTCAACTCTTTCACTGACGTACAGCCTGTTAACTCTTTCACTGACTTACAGCTTGTCAACTCTTTCACTGTCTTACAGCTTGTCAACTCTTTCACTAACTTACAGCTTGTCATCTCTTTCACTGACATTCATCTTGTCAACTCTTTCACTGACGTACAGCTTGTCAACTCTTTCACTGACGTACAGCTTGTCAACTCTTTCACTGACGTACAGCTTGTCAACTCTTTCACTGACGTACAGCTTGTCAACTCTTTCACTGACGTACAGATTGTCAACTCTTTCACTGACGTACAGATTGTCAACTCTTTCACTGACGTACAGATTGTCAACTCTTTCACTGACGTACAGCTTGTCAACTCTTTCACTGACGTACAGCTTGTCAACTCTTTCACTGACGTACAGCTTGTCAACTCTTTCACTGACGTACAGCTTGTCAACTCTTTTAATGACTTGCAGCTTGTCAACTCTTTCACTGACGTACAGATTGTCAACTCTTTCACTGACGTACAGCTTGTCAAATCTTTCACTGACTTACAGCTTGTCAAATTTTTCACTGAAGTACAGCTTGTAAACTCTTTCTCTGACGTACAGCTTGTCAACTCTTTCACTGACGTACAACTTGTCAACTCTTTCACTGACGTACAGCTTGTCAACTCTTTCACTGACGAACAGCTTGTCAACTCTTTCACTGACATACAACTTGTCAACTCTTTCACTGACGTACAGATTGTCAACTCTTTCACTGACGTACAGCCTGTCAACTCTTTCACTGACGTACAAATTGTCAACTCTTTCAGTGACGTACAGCTTCTCACTATTTCACTGTTACATATCTTGGCATGTCTTTCTTGTCGGATACTTTGCCAAATCTTTCAGTTATGCACACCTTGTCAATCTTTTAATGTCATAATATTATGCCGTGTGAAATCTTTTAATGTCGTGCAACATGTTATATCTTTCTTTTCTTGGACATCTTGACAACTCTTTCACTCTTGTAAGCTTGTCAGCTATTGCACTGACAAATACAATGTCAACATTTTCTCCATGGACATTTGGAAAGTCTTTCATTTTTCGCCCGCCCCCCCCCCCTTTTTTTTTTCCCCTCTTTTGTTCTTTTCGTCCTTGTTTCATTTTCCCCCTCGTCTTTTCCCGCTTCTCCGTTTCTCTTCTCCGCCTTTTCTCTCATCATTCTTCTCCCTCCACCTTTCTGTGTTTCTTGTGGCCCTTAACTTCATTGACGTGTTTCTGTCATGTATCTGCTCTACCCACAGGTGTCTACATCCGTGGTGGAGCCCTACAATGCAATTCTGACCACGCATACCACGCTAGAGCACTCGGACTGCGCCTTCATGGTTGATAACGAGGCCATCTATGACATCTGTCGACGCAACCTTGACATTGGTCGCCCTACCTACACAAATCTGAACAGGCTCATCAGCCAAATCGTGTCATCCATCACGGCTTCACTCAGGTGGGTGTTTATTATATCCTGCTTCACTCAGGTGGGTGTTCGTTATCTCCTGCTTCACTCAGGTGGGTGTTTGTTATCTCCTGCTTCACTCAGGTGGGTGTTTATTTTCTCCTACTTCACTCAGGTGGGTGTTTATTATCTCCTGCTTTACTCAGGTGGGTGTTTATTATCTCCTGCTTCACTCAGGTGGATGTTAATTATCTCCAGCTTCACTCAGGTGGGAGTTTATTTTCTCCTGCTTCACTCAGGTGGGTGTTTATTATCTTGTACTTCACTCAGGTGGGTGTTTATTATCTCCTGCTTCACTCAGGTGGGTGTTATCTCCTGCTTCACTCAGGTGGGTGTTATCTCCTGCTTCACTCAGGTGGGTGTTTATTATCTCCTGCTTCACTCAGGTGGGTGTTATCTCCAGCTTCACTCAGGTGGGTGTTTATTTTCTCTTGCTTCACTCAGGTGGGTGTTTATTATCTCCTGCTTCACTCAGGTGGGTGTTTGTTATCTCCTGCTTCACTCAGGTGGGTGTTTATTATATCCTGCTTTACTCAGGTGGGTGTTCGTTATCTCCTGCTTCACTCAGGTTGGTGTTAATTTTCTCCTGCTTCACTCAGGTGGGTGTTTATTATCTCCTACTTCACTCAGGTGGGTGTTTATTATCTCCTGCTTCACTCAGGTGGGTGTTTATTATCTCCTGCTTCACTCAGGTGGGTGTTTATTATCTCCTGCTTCACTCAGGTGGGTGTTTATTATCTCCTCCTTCACTCAGGTGGGTGTTTATTGTCTCCTGCTTCACTCAGGCCGATAATTGCTTTCTTATTTGACCGCATGTCTGTCCTCCAGGTGACTTGAAGCGATCCACGAGATGGAGAGAAAACTGACGAGCCAGTTAAACGGACTCGCAGAAAACATTGCAATCGTTCTCTAGTAGATTCTGACTCACTGCGTCACACCAGAAATTCTCCTTCTTCTTCTTCTTCTTCCATTTTTTTTCCTTCTTCTTCTTCTTCTTCTTCTTCTTCTTCTTCTTCTTCTTCTTCTTCTTCTTCTTCTTCTTCTTCTTCTTCCTCTTCTTCTTCTTCTTCTTCTTCTTCTTCTTCTTCTTCTTCTTCTTCTTCTTCTTCTTCTTCTTCTTCTTCTTCTTCTTCTTCTTCTTCTTCTTCTTCTTCTTCTTCTTCTTCTTCTTCTTCTTCTTCTTCTTTTTTTTTCTTCTTCTTCTTCTTCTTCTCTTCTTCTTCTTCTTCTTCTTCTTCTTCTTCTTCTTCTTCTTCTTCTTCTTCTTCTCTTCTTCTTCTTCTTCTTCTTCTTCTTCTTCTTCTTCTTCTTCTTCTTCTTCTTCTTCTTCTTCTTCTTCTTCTTCTTCTTCTTCTTCTTCTTCTTCTTCTTCTTCTTCTTCTTCTTCTTCTTCTTCTTCTTCTTCTTCTTCTTCTTTTTCGTCTTCTTCTTCTTCTTCTTCTTCTTCTTCTTCTTCTTCTTCTTCTTCTTCTTCTTCTTCTTCTTCTTCTTCTTCTTCTTCTTCTTCTTCTTCTTCTTCTTCTTCTTCTTCTTCTTCTTCTTTTTTCTTCTTCTTCTTCTTCTTCTTCTTCTTCTTCTTCTTCTTCTTCTTCTTCTTCTTCTTCTTCTTCTTCTTCTTCTTCTTCTTCTTCTTCTTCTCTTTTTCTTCTTTTGTTCGCTTGAAATAAGTTATCTATATTTGCAATGTTGTCTCTAATATAAAATTCACTATCTTTCACTGTCAGCGACCCGCGATGTTTCTCTTGGCCAAAAGTCTTGCCTTGATATGTTGTCTTTGGGAAAGTCTTGGAAGACATAATCTGTTGTCTGAGGAGCCAATCCACTTTGGCACATGGCTGATTGGCCGATTTTAAATGTTGTCTACATGTGGCTGTGAAGTCGACTGTGTCCGGTTCTAAGGCGTAGAATAATAACTTGCTCTGATCTTTCCATGAAATGATAATCGTCTTGTGCCGGTTTTATTCCCTTCTTTTGCTGATAAGAGACTTGTACGTCTTTTTCTTTATTTACACCTTCCTTAGCTAGTTTTTCAGGTCTTTTATTTCAGGAAACTCCACAGTGGGATGGTATCCATTGCATAATTACCTTACACCGACTGCTTAGTTTGGAAAATAGTGTTCCTATACCAGGTAGTTTTCCAGATTGGAGTGCCTGAAGCACCGCTCTTGCATCTTTTAGAAATAACACGGGTTGATGGTTTGAACTTCTGCATCATAGTTGTAACAGTAATTTCCTGTAGGTATCTTGGCTGTATATCTATACCAGGAAATGAGTTAGCGGACAGACTTACAGAAAATGGAGCAAAGGAGAAACAACAAAGCAATTCTTTGTCATCGCCAGAAATAAAAACGCTTGTCAAAGAAAAGTTGAAGGAATTGTGGAGAGAACAAACAAACAGTGAACATCCACAAGACCCCATCAGCAGACTCAAGAGAGATCAGCATACAACAATTGTCCGTCCACTACAGAACACTGCAGGCTCAGCTACCGCATGAATATAATAAAGACTGAAGTCCACACAGTGTGCCTGTCAGACAGGGCCACAAACAGCTGAGCACATTTTGCAGGCCTGCAAGTCAACCCGACAACAAGCCATGTTTTTAATAATCATCGATGTGGCGTTGTCAGCCTGTGAAAGGTCAGCGGTTTCTTGTGTAGGAGAGTGTTGATGGACGTCTTTGAACGTTTGCTTCTAGTTGTTATCGTGGTGTCTGTGTATGTCCTATATGGCAACAGGGCCGGCCATTCAGTACCGAGTGTCAAACCTAGCAAATGGCCCTCGGATCACAGCCAGTTGCTTTGCGTTTATTATCTTTCTATGCCGGGGATGAGGCGTGTGGCCCATGACGATCCCCATGTTCAAAATCCTGGCCTTTGAGTCAAAACTTGATTGAATAGACGAGGTCTAGAGAGACAGGCATAAGTGATCAGTCTCAGAGACGACATCATCGACTCTTGTTTCTGGCTGCCAGGTTTGATGGTGCTCTCAATGTCGATCTCACCGAGTTCCAAACCAACTTGGTTCCCTACCCCAGGATACACTTTCCGCTGGCCACGTACGCTCCCGTCATTTCTGCAGAGAAG